TCTGTTGGGGGTGCTTTCCCAGACCTCCAGCAGATGCTGAGACCACAGATAGGACGAACCCTGTACACTCTATGTACTGTTTTTTACTATACATACACACCTATGATAAAGTTTAGAAGTTAGGCACAATAAGAGATGAACAACAGCAATGACAAAATGGAAGAGTCGCAACAGTATATTGTGATAACGGTTACGTGAATGTGGCCTGTCTCTGTGAATATCTTACCGTACCGCACTCGCCCTTCTTGTGATGTGAGATGACACAGCATCTGTGTGGTGCGATGAAGTGTGCGCGGCACAGGCCTTGTGACGTAGCCACCGCTCTGTCAGCCTTCTGATGATACGTCAGAAGGAGGATCATCTGCCTCCAGGCCGTAGCTGACCACAGGGAACCAGCCAGAAAGCAGACCGCAGACAGTGGCACTTGTCTCTCCCGTAGCTGAGGAAACTGGCCTAGGAAATAACCATGGAAATGAGTGACTAAGGTCACGTGGAGGATTAGCTCTTTGGAGAGGAAGTCCAGGAACCAAGAGGCCGCAGTGGTGGGGGGCAGTCTGTGTGCACTGACAGCCCAGCAGCTGGGATGGACGGCAGTGGGCCAGAGCTGATGGGGAGGCGGGCAGAGCCCCGGAGGTGCCTGCAGAGAGGAGGGCAGTGGCTGCGGGCAGTGCAATTCAAAGCTAGAGGGTAGTTTGCAGGGGAGGGGACACAGGAGAGGAGGGTAGGTCAGAAACCAGAGCAAAGATCAGGGACACCGTCCCCGCCTCCAGGGCTAGCAGGACAAGAGCTGTGGCAGAGACAGAGCTGCCGTCTCCCCTCGGGAAGCTTGATCTCAGGCGGAACACGTCAGTGAGCACTCTTTTGGGAGTGAAGGAGATGTGCTGAGGGCTGCTCTGGTTTCCAGGGGGCCCAGTGGGCAAGGCTGGGGAGCTGGGGTGGGGTGTGCTTTCGGAGATGAGGTCATGAACGAGCAGGTGCAAAGCCGGCTGGGTGAGAGCCCCAGAAGTGGCAGGGGCCCTGCAGGCCGCCTTGTAGTGGGACTGAGCAGGGGCCGAGGGTGTGAGGGTGAGGGTGGGGGCTTGATGGCCTCGAGGCAGGTGGTGGGCTGAGCTGATAGGTGTGGATAAGGGAAGGAGAAAAGAGGTTCTTACAAGGAGCCCGTCAAGTTCTGGGACCCCCTTGCTTCCAGAGGCTCTCTGACTACATCCTCACCCCTGGCCCTGGGAGCGTGAGACAGAAAGGGGCAGGTTCCAGAACACTAAGCTCCCCTTGATGGGTGTGGCTGTCAGGCAGAGCTTACTGATCTTTGTGGCCAGGACACCGTGTACTGACGGGCTCGGTCCTACTGTATTATCTGCTGCCATGTAACCAAATCACCCCAGAACTTAGTGCCTTAAAAGTGCATTTCTTATCCAGCATCTGGACAGGCATAACTTAACGGGTCCCCTGTCACCGGGTCTCTGAAGCTGCAGTTGAGGTGTTAGCAGGGACTCAGATCATCTGGAGACTCGGCTGAGGGAGGGTCCTCCGCTAAGCTTGCTCAGGTAGTCATCAGCAGGGGTCAGTCCCCCAGCTGGACGGAGGGCCTCCATCCCTCACCGCCTGTTGACCAGGGGCCTTCCTTGGCTCCTTGCCCCCGAGTCTCTCCATGAGGTGGCTGAACACGGCAGCGGGCGGTTCCTGCAAGGCAGAGCACAGTCTTTTGTGAATGTGATCTCAGAAGTGACAGCCCATTACTCTTGCCTCCTGATGCGTTAGCAGCGAGTCACAAGGCCCTGCTCACTCGAGGGGCGGGGGGGCACTCAAGGCTAGGAGTACCAGGGGGCAGACGTCACCAGAGACCACGGTAAAAAGCTGCCCGGCCCTGAACCAACCACTCGTTCCGAGATGAGAACTGGCTCAGACAAGCCAGGTTCTTCAGCCCCTGCAGCTGGAGTCAAGTCCCCAAATCACAAGGCTATCACAGAATTGCAGGGAAGGGTAGAGAATAGAATCAATGCTGGGAGAACAACCGCAACTTCACAGTAACTGTAGCCATGTCTGGGCCTTTGTCCTTTTGACCCTGGGCCTGTTGTTCTTTCTACCCTGTAGTGCCACCTGAATGCCTCCCCATCGCCCCCAGGATTGAGGCAAAACTCCTTGCAGCACAGAATGGCCCCCAACCCGACTCTGACCCAAATTTATCTTTCCACCCTCAGTTCTCATTTGCTGTCCTTTACTATAAGCCAGTGGTTCATCCAACCTTTTCATCTCAAGACACCTTTAATACTCTTGAAAGTTACTGAAAACCCCAAAGAGTTTTTGTTACAGCTATTAATATTTACTTAGTTAGAAATTGAAACAAATTTTAAAATATTTAGTAAATCACTTTAAAACGATAATAAACCCATTACTTAAATAACACTATAAAGCATTTTCTACAAAAAATAATTTTTTAGAAAAATGACATTGTTTTATATTTTTGAAAATTTATTTGATGTCTGTTTTAATAGAAGACATCAGCGTGCTGTCCGCTTCTGTATTCAGTGTGTTGTGGTAAGTTATTTTGGATGAAGTATATAAAGGAAATCTGGCCTCATAGTTGGAAAATGGAGATACAAGTATTGCGATAAACTTTTCAGATCATTGTGGCTATTTTTCTTTGATATCACGCCAGTTCTTTGAGTGGTAGTTCAGTTGCAGTGTAGAATCTGAACTTTTGTATTGTTTGGGTAAAATCCATCAGACTGGCACTTGGAATAGCTTTTACTCCTGGGAAATATTAGCTCCCTGAGTTATTCAGTCTTCTAGATATTTCATTGTAAAGTATTTTTAATCACATTTTTAAATATTACTACCTGTCTGGTCAGAAAAGTCTCTAAGTGTTTGGGAAGCTGTCAGTAATGGAGGATTTAAGTTGCCCAGAATCCTATTTTCACCTAATATCTCAAATTTTTTCATTGGCATAAATACTGCCAGCTGTTTTCCTTGAAGTAATAGGCTCATTTCATTTATTTTTGACAAAGTGTCAAATACCAAATCTGAATAACTATAGCCAATCCGTCATCATTTGGTGCTCTGTGAGGGTGCCTGTGACTGCTTTTGTCTCGTGCGTGACTTCTGCTCACCGTGTTCTGGGCATCCTTCAGCTTTGCTGCCGCCCTGCAGCCTCTGAGCATGCTCGCATCTGGTGCCTGGAGAGACTCGGATGGGGTCAGCCGGACATTGTCCGAAATGGGGGCGGCAGGACACCTCAGGGCTAGCGAACACTCAGAGCGCCGTGTCCATACGCCGTTAGGAATTAGAAGATATTTTTTGGTATGCAAATAGGGTGATTATGGGTGTAAGAAGGAAAAGAAAAAAATTAGACTTACAATTTGCCTTTATAGACACCCATTTGACAGTTTTTATAGACCAAAGAAAAGCATGTCCTTAAAGCTGGGTCACATTCTTAGACCACCTTCACGTTGTCTGCGGCATTAATGTTCTGAGGCTGCCGGGAGACCATCTGTTCCGAAAACATTTCTCCATGTGGATTGAGTAGTTGTTGCTGAGTTTTCTGCCCTTGTAAACTTAGAATTTGTCTTCCACCTTCATTATTAATAAAAAGAACACTGTTAAAGAAGTTTCTTTGGTTGACTAACAGTTTTTCATTGTTTTAATGGATGTCTACCTCCTTCGCAAGGGAGGAAAATCCTTCAGAGCCTGTGAGGACCATCTTCTATCTAGTGTTCTTGCTGGTTAGTAAATAGTTGGGAGCCCCCCAGGCACTGCTTTTTGCAAGTTCACTGATTTTAAATGTGATTATTTTTTTTAAGATTGCCTGTCTCATTTTGGTAGGAACAGAGAAGGCTAAGAAGTTTATTTCTGCCAATTTGAGAGGATGGTAGCCTTAGCAACTTCCAGTTTGAAGGTCCTGAAATTATGTGTATACAGTACTATATACAGGACAGTATAGATTTTGGCTGCATAGGTGAGAGCATGCCCAGGAGTGCCTACAAACAAGTCCACTCACTTAGTAAAGAGCTGAGGCAGGCTGTTGTTAGGGAAAATATTAGGGTTAATGACAAAGAAAAAAAATACAGCATCCCTATGGGGAAATAATGACACAATTTAAAGTGGGATCCTTGTTGAAACAATTCTTTTAGGAAATGGGAATATTTTGTCTTTGCCACATGGAAGCCATCTAAATTTTAAAAACAATCTAGGTTTCCTTTTTGTACATCATTATTTTGTTAACTCATATTTCTTTGAGCCATATATATCAGAAGTAATTTAAGTTGTAAAATACAGAATAATTTGCATGTACTCCATGTCTTTTTATTAATGTTAATCATATTAATGTGTTAATATATTAATATAAGATATATAAATATGTGCAATGTTTTAGTGAATTTGATTAGACAATAATTTGTTAAGGATTTTTATGAGGGATATTAGCCTGTAATTTTCCCTTACATTAATTAAAAAAAATTTTTTTTATTTAGAGATACATACAATAAAATGTACAAGTCTTAGTATACAGCTTGAAGTATTTCGTCATGTGCATATGCTCTTGTGACATCATCCAGATCAAGTTACCAAGTATTCTCACTAATAATTGTCTCCCTTCACCTGTTTCACCCACACTTTTTAAATGTTAAGCATCTTACCTTTCTTTCTGACACCACAGTCCTCAAAAAGATGGGTTATCTGTTTCTCTATTGAATCTATATTTCCCAGCAATACACATCATCCTGGCTGTACAGAGTGTGCACCGCTGCACTCACACCTTCCTAGACAGTGGACAAGGGTTGTTGTTTTATTCTGGTTTCCAATGGAACTACAAATGCCCTCGGAGTTCCCTTAGCTTCTACACTGCTGAGTAGAAAAGCCTCAGAGGCTCTACTTGCTCAGTACTGTCAATGCTGCAGTGCAGAATAAACTCAGAAAACCCAGTTATATTCTCTAGAAGTGTGGATAGCTTTTACTGTTAATGCCCTAAATCATCTAAAGGCTTGTTTTCTTTCCTTTTTTTGCAGACCTAACTACCGTAATGAATGCTGCATATTAAGAGAAACCACGAGAAGGTTATACGTTTGGTTGTCTAATACTCTTGGATTTGATAAGAACCAACACATAGTCCTTGTTGTCCTTGACAGAACCCCAGTTTGTATGTACATTATTCACATTCCTCTCTGTTGTGTTTTGGGGAAAAAAAGATATTTTAGCCTTTTTTAAGGTTATTGATTTAATTTCATGTTACTTGGTTGCATGAGGTTGCCCTTAACCACTGAGAATTACCAAGATTTTTGCACAGACTTCTCCCTGTCTAGGATCCTTTTATCAAGGCAGTTATGTTCATCATTCTCCTGCCTTCTCTCCACCATCACCAAACACTCAGTTAAATATAAATTAGCATTTTTTAAACGCCCACTCATAATGCTTAAGGGACACCCTCTCCATGACAGAGCCCAAGAACCAATTCCTAGATAGGTAATGTTGGCATATTGAAGATAAAATTAAAACTGCCCTTCAGTTTTGAGGCCATGTGTAGTTTGATCATACTGTAAAATACCTTCCGTATTAGAAATAGCTAGTTGGCGGCATATACTTCTCAAAACTCATGTTGTTATGTACACAGACTCGGTTTCTACATGTGAAGTCAGTGAGTCTTTTTGTGTTATTCCAAAATAAAAGCAATGGTTTATTTTTCCCCCCAGTGCCAATACAATCTGAGCTAATCACACAAGGTGGGTTCTTTACATTTGAAAGCTGGAATCAGCAGCCGCCCTATGGAAAACCACAAAAGGCATTGACTTTTAAAGTGAACAGTTGTTTTCGTTTGGAACTAGGACTAGAATAGTTAATATTCATCCACACACCATTATTATGTGTACATTATTGTTGCTCTTGTGATAATAGAGAATTTTATTTATTTTTATGCCAGCTTATATTGTGAGAACACATTCAGTCAGTTTGGGTTTGATCAATCCTGTTATGCTTGTCCTGGGAACATCTTTTTGCGTATTCAAGGTTTGTAGTTGAAAAGTTTACTGTAAAAAAAAATCAAAAACAAAAAAATGTATTGTTTCTACAGAATAAATTTATTGGAATGTGTACTGGGAGTAAGATTTGAGGTTGTAAACAACTAAGTTAGTGTAATTTGGCTTCATATATGTACTGTGAGGTATTAATGTAATTCATATATTAAAGCTAAAATTGTTAACAGCAAGTTAACAGTAGAATTAAGTGCAGGTGAGGGTTTTCTTTTTCTTTTTTTTTGGAACACTCTGGGTTTTAGGTTTTTGTAAACACTGGGGGAGGGACAGGAATCGCTGTGTGGTTGCTTGCACATCCAAGATAACGTTTTCCAGCTCAGTGGACCCCAAATTCACACATTTGACCTTATCCTGTCCATGCATTGATTTGGGCCCCATTGTCTTTTAGTTTTCTTATTTTGGTGAAGAGCTATTTCGTACAAAGAGAAAACGGGAGAGGCGCTGGAGCCAAACGCATGAGAAAGGCGGCCGTGAGCAGGAGGCGTCAGGCCACCCCCTCCGGGCTGTGGGTGGCCACCGGGGTTCTTGGTTGGTGTCTCTCATTTAGCAAATCCAGATTTTTCTTTCTTACACTCAATCAGTTCCAAACGTGAAAAGACCGTTGAAAGATAGTAGGGATGCCAATCCAGTTCTTCTTCTTTAAAAAGTACTTTTAAATTTTGAGAATCTTGATTTAAATTAAAATAATTGAAATGTAACCAACTCATCAAAAGTTCTCTTCTTTGCTCACATGAAAACATAAGGAGAATGTAGATGACATTTTGAATTGGAACATGTAACTAAGAGATTAAGAGGCCTAAAAACTACAAAACTTTTTCTGAAAAAATGTCAAATTTAATAAGATTTGTCTTCATTAAAGGCCAAAAATAATTTTATTAAAAGTATATACAGAACTACAATAGAAATACTTCCAGCCACCAATAAAACAAGTATTCATTTGCGGTAGTGTTAAAGCTACCAGTCCCTGCTTAACTCCAGGCTCACAAAACACTTCTAAGACAAGAAATTCTAATTAAAACAGCAGTAAATATACTTCCCTTGGAAAGACATTTTCAAACATTTTTAAATATTCTGATGATTTGCCTTTTTTATTGGGGTTGATAATGAAGCATTTACGGCTTATGTGCAAAATATATTTCTCCAATCTGTATTTGCTCTTTTGAATATTTTAATGTACATAAACCTTATTCACTTTTGAATAGTTTCGTTCTCATGCTCACTATTATAGGAGCTAAATTGTAATTTTTCATACTGATATCTAATATATGCAAACATAATATTGAGATAGATGGTCAGGTTTTTTCACAATTTTGAATATACTTCTTTTATTAACAGTGTTTCTCAAAGGCTGCAGGTTCCCTTCAAAAATCAGAAAGTTCACCCACATAATGCCTTATGAGAGCTCCCACACAGCGAAGAGGAGAGGTTCATGTGTCTTTAAGTGTCGCTGTACGGGAAGGAGTGAGATGGGACAAGACGCCAGGACCAGGTGAACAGGAATCGGTCATCTAGAGAGGAGGAACATGGAATCATGTTTTTATTCAACTTTTTCATCTGCCTTTGTTTTTATGAAGAACTCTGGTTTGTAGATACAGCGATAGGCCAGGAGCTGAGGAAGAACTCCATATGCTATGTTTAATGCTAAAAAAAGGACTTTGGCTTCTTCAGGGACTCTGTAGACATAAGCAGTTCTAGCATGAAGAGAAGCACCGATGTGAGAAAACTGAGCCTGTTGAATTAAAAAAAGAAAAGAGGGTAAGCATGCATTTTGTGTTCAGTTGGAGGCACAGTCAGTTTTGAATGATTCATTCAGATCATGGTTCTGTGCCCTCGAAACCAGTACTTTCAGACAATCCGTAGACATAAGTATTTCATTGAATCTAAGGCCAGTCTTAATTTAACTGTTAAATAAAGCTCTCCTCCTTTAGTGTCGCTTTATCCTGCCAGCGCTTCTTCGACCTGTCTTGTGCCCCATACCGAACATTTGTAACTCAATTTAACAGGAGAATCTGAGTGAAATCTCCATTTTGTTCTGGTTTGCATTCTGGAGATCCCATATACAGACTCAGTTGTAGCCCACAAAATGCATTCCAATAAAAATAAAGGAAGTACAGTTTAGAAAGTTAAAATATTTTTAGCATTAAATATTTAAAGGACCTTGGCTTCATTCATTCCCTTCACCTCCTCCTGGCAGCAAGAGCTCAAAGCCCTTCAGTGTGTGTTTTTGTCTATCTGTTTATTCATACATTTGTTTTTTCTGCAACTTTAAAAATACTAGGGTGGTTCTGTTGAGGTTGTTACCAACTCAGGTAGGGGCATAGTTATAGAAGCTCTTTACAAAATGGCAAATGTGCATGCAGGCAACCTTATCAAGTCAAATGATAATTCAGAAGTACAGCTTGGCAGCATAACCTGAGTTTACAAAATGGAAAGGCAAGGGCTTCCCGTCTACATACATCCTTGTTCGGGACATACATTTAGAATGTGCGGTGGTCTTTTGATACTTTCCATAAGCACAGGGGAAAACTATTAGAAAGCCTTCCATGAGAGAATTTCTTCAGGGTCCTTGTGTCATTAAAATGCAACCCTGGAGTCTGCATTTTCATATATTACTGAAACTCAAGATATACATGAATAAAAGATTGGGAATCTAAATATACTGAGTGGGGAATTATTAGTTCATCAGTATCAAAACAGAGTTTAAAGATACTGCAATCTAAAGGCACATAAGAAACAAGAATGAATAAGTATTTTGTCTTAAAATGGGTTACCTTACACTTCCTTCCATATGAAATCAGTTTATTCTGCTAAGTGGATAACAGAAGAAATTGTTACTTTGCACTTGACTTGACCTTGACAGGAAAAGGACAAGCTTTCATACACAGCGTGAGTTGGATTTGTATCAGTGATTGATATTCTATAGGCTACGTTTTTGCATATTACTGATACATTCTGGAGACCTCTGGTACAGTTCTGTTATTCTCTAGAGATAGAAATTACATTAGCATGGAGTGTCACCAAGGACCAACACTTGTGGGTTGTCTGGTGCACCTCTGCCTTGTGATCCTTGAGGTGCTGCGAGGGCTCTGCCCTCAAACACCTCCCTGGGCAGCTGTCCGAGCACTTCATCTCGGGGCTCCAGAGAGCCTGAGAGCAAAGGCATCTGAGAGGCTGCCCTGAGGAGCTGCTCCCGTGGACATCCTAGGAACCCTGAGCAGGAGCTGGGCCCGTCACTCATTTTCCCTAGTGAGACAGCGTAATAGCGAGAGCCACGCAGAGGTCCACGGCTTATACTCCAGGCACAGTTCTCAGCCTTCATGTGCTCCTCGCTTAACCCTTCCAGCAGCTCTGAGAAAGTCGCTGTGACCACCTTGCTCTGCAGAGGAAATGGGCCTGGGCAGAGCAGCCAAGCCAAGGCCGGGATGGGGGCCAGTCTGCTGCCTCCGGAGCCCTTGCTCTTAATCACATTGTCTATATTGGCTCTGGGCTTTTCTCTTAATGTTCAGTGATATTTTAGCAGAGAAGAATTCTTCAATTGATAGAAAATGCTAGTAAGTGGATCTAAGCAGCCTGTGACACTTTTCAAACTAGACTTGCAACTTTAATCCTGTGATAACTATTTGAGGTGAGATAAACGAGTATGAGTAAGTCCCCAGTGGAACTGTCGTGTAAAAAGTGTGCTCGTTTGGTTTGATTTGTTCACACTTTCTGATTGATCTGATTTCTGATGGCAGCAGGTTTCGCGGATTCCCATGTGGTCTGAGACCAGGGACTAACTATTTAGCATTTTCCATCGACGTCTACTGATCTGTGAGTTTTTCAAAGATTTTCTTAGGAAGTATATTCACTGGGTCTTCCACTAAGCACAGGTTTTGATAAAGTTGGTGGGGTCATGAAGGCACAAGGCTTCTGAACTCGGAGTGGCAGATTCCGCAAGTTCGGGGCACCAGGCAGGGCCGGAGTGCTTTCTGTGGCGCACGTCAGATGCCCTCCCAGGACGAGAATTCTCTTCAAAAGCAGGTATTCGTGCAGTAGAAGACCGAGCGCGTAACTGGCACTCAGTGTTCTCGTTGCGTGCATCGCTTTGTCACAGTATGACCTGTGACTTCTCCGTAGGCTGAACACACCGAACAGGTAGATAGTAAAGCCCAGCCAAATGCCATGGGGTGTCAGACACACACGCTCAGATGACGCCGTCCTGCTGGGTTGGGAGAAACCTCCATCTGGCATTTACAGGATCCGGGCTGCAGCCTACGCTTCCTTGTCAAGTCGGGCAGTGATGGACGAGCTCTAGGATTCCCGCACGGCCCAGGGTCTGGCCGAAGCTGCCACGGCGGCTGCCGATCGCTCTGCTGTCCACATCGCCCTGTCCACAACTGCCTGGCTGGAGACTTGGCTTCACCGGCAGGTACAAGCCAGGCTTAGTTTTGCTTCTACAGGTTCAAGCACCCACTTGCCCCCAGGCTGTGACCTACCGAGCTTCCTGACTGCTGTGTGCCCACCAGGATTTCCTGCCTAGCTCTCCAGTTGTCTCCTGAGACTTCCTGGGTGCAGCAGCTGGCCCGGCGTCCTAGCTAGCTGATCACACTCAGTGTTCTGCCCTGGGGCCTGGACAGGGCAGACCAAGGCACATGGCATGCAGAGGAAGCCCAGTCGTGCAGGTACAGCCTACAGGTAATGAGTAGCTGTTGAACTCCAAGCGATCTACTCAAAAAAAGGACCAGTAAGGGTGGTGAATGGGAGGCCTCTCCATCTTGGCTCAGGAGAGTAAGGCAGGGAACCAGGCCCAGAACTCAAAAGCTAAGGTGCCCCCTGCCCTCTGACCTGCTGCACATTCCAACGGTTAACATGCGTCCTCAGCCTCAGCCCACTCAGCTGACCACAGATCCCGGTGCAGACGTCACTGCCCCCCACCCCACGAGGGCTCCCCAGCTCCTCTGTGCCACGTACGGGGTCTCACTTTGGGCTGTAGGGCTCTCCACGGAGTTTCTGCCTGTGGAGACGGATAACTGGAGAATATGGGCCTTGAGGTCAGACAGTTTCCTGCCCCTTTTCTGCCACTTAGTCACTTTGTGACCTTAGGAAGAAGTAACAAGCTGCCCTGAGCCTCAGCTTTTAAAAAACCTGTAGAGATAATGGCCATACGTTCACTGCACCATTCGGAGGCACACGGAAGGGCCACATGGGTCGGCCTCCCTTGCGGTGGGGCTGGTGCCAGGCCTGGCTCTTGGAACCATGCGAGCTTTGCAAAAGCAAGAGACAGCTCGGTCGCGTGGGGCCACTGAGTATTTGCTACTCCCGCAGAGCAGAGCCTGCCTTTCCACAGGTGAGTAAAACAGCAAGTGAGGCGCGGGCAGCTCAGACCGGGGCAGTGGCTGGTGAGCTGCAACGAGTGGAGGAGCTGCGAGGCAGGAGACAACTCGCCCGACTTCACCATGGGCTGGGTGGCAGCTGAGGGAATATGGAGTGTTGTGAGTTTTCTGAGATTTTTACTTGAGCTGCTGGTTGCAAGGATGGGCTTTTCACAGAGGTGGGGGAACGGGAGGTGAGCTGGGGGGAGGATTGAGACTTTATTTTAGACGTTATATCTGAGATGCTGGTGAGACATGCAAGTGAAAAAACCAGAATTCACTGTAAGAGTCCAGGAACAGTCTGGGCTAATGACAAGAAACTGGAAGTCATCAGCTTATACTTGCTGTTGAAAGATGTGGAAATAAATATCCAAAACCAAGGCCTGAGAAATGAGGTCTTCAGAGGGCTGCCAAGAGGGTAAATATTAGTCCTCCTCCCTCAAGTCCCCCAAGGGCAGGACAAGAACCCTTGCTTCTGAAGGTTGCATCAACTCCTTTATGTTAGCACTCTGTTTCTGTGACTAAGGAGTACCCCGGATCGGAAGGACTCAGCCCAGTGTATCAACCCGTAAATGTAACAGTCTGCAGCCCCGTATAACAGTCTGCAGCCCCGTAAATCCAGCGCGTCTGTCTGCCATCACACGTACTGCGCCCTAAGTATAATTAACTGGCTAGAGTTGCTGGATGAACCGCATTTTTATGCCTGCTTGAAAAGAGCAAAATGAAGATAATGATTTTAAAAGATGAATTTTTTTCTTTATTTATAGTAAGTAAACAAAAATAATTTTCTTCCTTGTTCATCAGTTTTGTTTTGCTAGTTATCTGGTAAAAATGTACTTTGTGTGATAACGTAATTGCATAGATAGCTTCATTTCCAGTCCAGTGGAGTGAGCAGTCACCGAACACCTACTCTGGGCAGGGACTCGAGGCAGCAGCAGCAGGGGAGGAATGGAACGACAGGCCCTGCCTCTCGCAAGCAGCACTGTTTAAGCACCAGTTTCCATGGCTCTGTAAGGCATAGTATGCTGCAGTTCTGAAACCTTAAATTTTGATAGACATGTTAAAGATAGCAGCTTTCAATTCTTACTAGCCATGTTTTCCGAGACTGGGACGCAGCTCTGTAAACCAGGTACCTGCTGGGTATGCAACTTTGGACCAATCTTTTAACCTCACTGGGCCTCAGTTTCCTCCTCTGTATAACTGGATGGCACACCTACCAGATATTATGAGAATTAAATAAGTGCATATACAGAAATGTCTTCTTATAAACAAAAGCAAAAGGGGACAGTGTGTCTAATAGCCCCTTCCTACCCTAAAACTCCAAGCAGAGACGCTTCTCACATATTCAACAATGGCAGCCAAGCCCCCAGGACTCTGCAGTGGAGCAGGTTCTCAGTACCTGAGCTACACCTCCAGCATGCATCAGTGTTAGGTCAGGCATCCAGGAGCACCCAGGAACCGCCAAGCCATAAAGTGCAACCACATAGTAAGGGACAGAATAGAACAGATACGCCAGCATCTGTATTGAACAGAGAAATAATAGCAAATTTTCAGTTAAACTGGCCTGATGAAAAGCACAACAAATTTACGTTTGCATACTTGAAAATATGAATTCCTATTTCTGGCATGGGACCACATTTTCCCATATCTTAAAGAGAGAAAATTAATTTCAGGAAATTACTATTTAGACTTCATAACTACTTGACCTGGATTTTAGGATAAGCAGCAGGATCCTTTAAGTAGGGCTCTTGAAATTGTGTATAAAATCGGCAGAGCTCAGCTGGGCAATCCAGAGCAATCTAAGAACAAAAATGAATCCATTATAAAGATACGATCACATGTGGTTCTTACCTTTGCTGATCAGGTTAAACATGCCAGGTTTAGTCACAAGCTGCTTTGCTGTTTAGCAAAGACTGAATTGTAAAAGCTCATCAGTAAAAGGGAAAGAAAAATACTCTGCAGGTTTACTCTGAGGAGAGAGAGCAGGTGAGCAGGAAATGGAAACTAATGCCCTCTCCTTGGGCACTTTTCAAGTGTTCGGTTTAAGTATCTAGAGGTCATGAGCCAACACAGCTTGCTTAGATGACCAGCTTCCCGCTTCCTGGAAATAACTAGCCAGCTATTCCCTGCAGGAAGAAGTACATTTCTATACCTAACTCATTTTTCTATGCTTTGCAAGATTCAAAAATAGCATCTTCCTCGCCTCACAGAGTATTTGGCCTTCAGAGCAGTAAGGCAATAACGATTTGCAAGCAGGGTCCTCTTCTCTGAAGCACCTCCTGTGTCCACGTTGAAAAACAGAGCAGATTTTGCCACGGCAGACTCTAGGCCCCAGAACAGACAAAATGTCTCTCGCACATTAGGGGTCCCCACTGAGTCACCTCCTCAGGCATCATTCCTTATGTCCTTGGCCACCAGTGTCCCAGCTAGAAAACGTACATGAACACAGGCCAGTGGCAGAGCTGCTAAAAATGGGCCCCAACCCAAAAACCCATCAGCAAAGGTCCTCCCCGCTGCCTCCATGCACACGCCTTTCTCATGCACACAGAGGGGTGGCTGTGGCTCTGCAGGAACACAGCTGGGCCTTGTTTTTGTTCTTTTAACTTTGGGAGTCACAGCAGGCTAAACAGAACAGCCCGACTGCTCCGGTCTGAGCAGAGCTTGTGGCCCTGCTTTCTCCTTTACTCCAATTACTGACTCTCCTCCAGGAAGGCCCTGACAATCCACAGATAGAGACAACTCCTAAGAGCCTCTCTGAACCCAGCCACAGGGTGTATTTCAAGGACCCCAAGACAATGAATCAGCTCCATCGGCTTAGGCTTGCCCCGCTGCTCCCCACCCGCTGGGCAATGCCAGCAGGCCTAGAACAGTTAGCAGTCATCCTGAGGCTGCGTGTAAGTGACCGTGTCATTCTGGCTGCTCAATCTGGTTTCTGCTAAGAATTAATCATGAAACTAGGGCATTGTGAAGGATCATTTATCAGTAAAGTAGTAACATGATCTCTTACTGAGTATAAGGGATAAGGCCTTCTACAAGTGTTTGATGTTTATTATCTTATTTAATCTTCAGAATGATACTATGAAGGGAGGTACTGTTACAGAGGAAGAAACTGAGGGTCAAAGAACTTAATTTTTCCAAGGCCACACAACTAGTAAATGGCCAGGATTCTAACTCCTTTCTCTGGCACCTTCCCCCATGCTGTCCACCTACTCCTGAGAACACATGGCTGCTCTGTGCCAGTTTTATTGGAGCCTTGAGCTATCATTCTTACCAATTTAAATTTGAATCAGAAACTTCAAGGAACCAAAAAAATGAGATGGATGCCTAATTTTTCAGCTGCCCTAAAATAGGGGAAGTAAGAGTTGATCCAAGGACCTGAGAGGGGTGACATGAAGCAGCCCAGAATGGACTGCCCCCTCGGAAGGGGAGGTCTGGGGCCGACCTGGGTAGGAGACTGGCAGGAGCAGGTCCAGGCCTCCGGGCTCCAATGGGAGGAATATTTTGTCAGTGTACTGGCAAATCTGATTTTTTTTAATACTTATTTTTCAATGTTATTTTGATCTGTTATACTTACCAAGCCTCTAAACAGGCAAAATCCAGTTGCCAGGAGAAGACACAGGACCAGTGTTAAATCACAGGGCCTTCTCAGCAGGTCCTTCGCCTGGACTTCTTGAACGACCTAAAAGAGACTTTATAACCAGTGAGCAGGCCCAAAGTACCAAGGAAGAATCGGAGACCAACTGAGACACAAGTGCCGTGATGATGGTGATGAATTTTGAAGATTCAAGGTTCGGATCATAACCTACTCACCATGGAGCTTACAGAAAATCCCTCCCCCTTGTGGCTGTTCCAGTTGCCACCTCTGAGTAAGGAGGTCGGGCCAGGTGATCTTGAAGGGCCCTTCTCGCTCTGTGAGTCTGTGCTTTTTTCTTGAAATACCATTTTTGTGATAATAAATGTAAGATACACTCATTTAAAAGTATAAAGCATAGACCCATCACACTACTATTGACAGCTGCTGTATTTTTTGAAGAGCTCTCTAGTTTACATTTATTTTTCACAAAATTAGGACTTAATGTATAAATAATTTTGTATTTATTCTTTCAACACTCAACCTCTACCAATATTATAAACACTTTTCCACATTATTAAAAAACTTCTGAAACTTAGTATCATGTGGAAACGCCATATTTTAGCTATTTTCCCACTGTTGGACATTAAGGCATTTTCACTGTTACGTTTAGTGTGATGTGAGCGCTCTGGACATAAATCTTTGACAACATCTTTCTGATGATTTTATTAGAATATGACCCTAGCGATGGAGTTTCTAGGTTAAAGGGTTAAATTTATTTGATTGATAACATTGCCAAATTGCTTTGCAAAGCAATTCTGATTGTTACCAGCACTGTGACAATGTCCATTTCTCTATGGCCATCACTGTGTTTTAACATTTAAAAATAATAATAATGAACTGTTCTATGTGTCTAATGACATAAGCCCTCTGATTATTTTTTTAATGCATATTTTTTAATGTTACCTCAATCTGCTAACACACTGACCAGGGGTGTTAAAGGAGCGGAGCCGGACCAGGGTTATGGTGACTGTCAGCTTCTTTTTTTTTTTAACTACCACTTCCTTCCTCAAAAGGATATAAGGGAGTAAAACTGTCAGTATGCCAACCTGAGTTTACACAGTCGTGTGTAAATGTTTACAATGAAGCGTTTGTGAATTAAAATGTACTTTAGTGAATTCTACTGTAAATCTTTGTAAAATGAAAAATCATGTTCTGGTTATCTCCAGTAATTCACATCTTCATATATCAGTTTTGCTGAAAGGATCTAATGCCTATAAAAGGAAGAGAAACTTGAGAAATGTGTCACTCAGTAGCTTAGAAATGAAGACCTTAACGGAGTACCTCCCCAGCCAGTACTGTTTCACCTTGACCACCTTGGCTGTGAATGGGAGGGAGGTGTCTCAGAAGACATCTGCAGCCAGTCTCCATGTGCCTGGATCGCTTGGTAACCAGATTCTACGGCTGTGTGTGCTACCTTGAAGAGCAGTATCTCTCCAGCCTCCCCTCGGAGCAGTGAATGCACAGGTATCTCTGAAGGACGCGTGCTGGTGCTCACACTGCAGGCCACTAAAGGCCCGACCAACCGCCCACTCAGCACATCCATGCAGAGTCTGATGGGAGGAGCCAGTGTGCCCGGCGGCACAGGAGGTTCCGAAAAGCAGGCCTCACCCATCGGAGCAGACGTATCCAGACAGACACACCGCTGTGGCCCCGGGGACTAAGGGGACCGATGCTACAGACTCAGCACAGTTACACCGACAGATCCCCCTGAGCTCCCCGGATTCACGGTCCCGTTCAGGAGCCAGTGAGTGAGTGAGCCCTTGGAGTTTGCAAACAGGTTAAATTTAACTTAATAAAATCACCTTTGAGGGATAATTGTAACTTTCTGAAGACTGATTATAGATTCTGAAACCAGCCCAGACCGGAAGACAAGTGTAAGGTACGCTTAGGAAAAAGGCAGGACAAATGCGCGTTCCGTACTTCCCTGTTAGAGAGAGAGAGACAAAGTCAAAGTCTGCCAAAAACTTACGCAAATGCGGTGACATGTAGGACACCTCCCCATCTCAAGTCATCTAAAATTTTGCTGTGGACCAGACAATATTATTAATGAGACCAAAAAAAGGTCAATTTTAAACTATTATGTGTTCATAGACATGTCCTATCTACAGTATTTTAGTATATTTAATATACTAATTTCTTGCATGCATAAGTGAGCTTTTACATTAGCTTTCAAGAGTCTTAATCTGTAAGTACATCTATCAGTGTCCCACAGTGTGTCAAGAATTATATATAATACAAAGAGTTAAGAAGTATTTGCCCACTAAACATAGCCACAAACATAATATTTATCCCTTCTAAATCTAAGTCAGGAATCACTGATATTAGACTGTCTAATGTTCAATGTACGTTTCTGAAAATTGCTCAAAAGCATTTCTTAAAATGTGAGATTAAGGAGGAGAAGAACAATCCGCAGAACAGTCTTTTGGAAAGCTTGGAATTTCTTGGTTCTATTGCAACCAAAATAGCTTCTCTATTTAAAAATAATCCCCATTGTTCCAGAAAAAAGAAAGTGGATTTTAAGATAGTGCCTTACCTACAATGTTTCCTGGCACAAAAACAACAATGCTCATAATAATAGAGCCAAACCAATACAGGCCAATGGTTCTGTAACTTTCCCTGTAATGAAAAAAATCTTTGCTTAGTGCACTTGTGTAAGAATGCTATTAGCAAAAGATGACCCACAATATTACCTTTATTCTAACTAGTAAAGTACATGGATCAAAACTTACTGAGTCCAGAGTGTGAAATCAACCACAAAGAACCCTAGTGATCAAAATCCCTTTCCGTGCGATGCACTACAGACCCCTCTGGGTGTCCTGACTAGGAATTACACTTCTACCCTGATCATCTCTTAAACTGCAGCATGGCCGTCCTTGGCCAAGGGGTCCTGCATTTCACCATTATGTGTGAGACTCGCAGCATGAAGGGAAAAGGTGGTTCAAGAAAGGAAGGAAATCAGATCCACATTGTAAATCATTGTAAGTATGAGTAATGGGATGTTAAATGAACTCTCCCTGGAGTCACTGAATTCTGGCCAAAGCCCCAAAGATGAATATGAGTGACATGCACCCCATGTTCTGAAGGATCTGCTATACACCCCCATCAATCTTCTTAATAGGCCATGTTGGCAAAAAGCTTTTGCAGCTGATGAGCCCCCTCCAAAAGGGGCTGTGAGATGTTAGAAGGAGGGTCTCTGAAGGGACCGGAAGTGAAGAATACCATGGGCTTCCTGTCCTGCCCCACCCCCCAGGCCAATTGCTGCACACTCAGGAGGCTGGTGGGAATGTCAGCACAGACAGCTACTTCCCCAGCCGGGTGCTGACTGAGCACGTCCCGGCAGCCTCCAAGCAGAGCCCAGCCATCCTCAGAAGTACCTGATGTGTTCCCTAGGACTTGGGGATGTTGGTGAAGCGAGAGGCTCGTACCTGTAAAGGGCCAGCAATGAGCTGGAGCTGTCCTTGAGTTCGTGTTTTGGCAGCAGAGGAGGTGGGGGTAAGGGGGACAGGCAGCTGTTCAAGCTGAATTTCAACCTTGTAAGGGCAAGAATGCATCACCTCCAACCTGGAGCCAAGGGGAAGCCTGGGAAGGTAGCTGGGCTTGAGACATCCTGAAAGGGTCCCGCCCCAAAGGGTGTGCCTTCTGGGTTACAGGGACGCCAGCGGAAGGCAGCTGCGGTGTGTGCCGTGGGCAGGGAGGCCAAGCACATTGGGCTGGAGAGAGCTCCGATTGCCTCAGGGCCTGGTGCAGAGCAGAGGCTCCCCTGACAACCATCTTAAAGAACCACACATGGGCCCCACCAGACAGACCTGCACACTCCAGTAGAGGGGGCCGATCCCCAGAAAGCCAATCATCACATAAGACCCGGGCCTCCTCAAGCCTCGTGCGCGTACACGCAGGCCCCCAGAGGAGCCCGCTGGAGTTAAGAAGGGGCGAAAGGACAGACCACGCACCCCTAAGCCCCTGCACCTGTGCTGGGGAAAGAGAGCTTTGACCTGAAATAAGCTTGAAGTTTTGAATTAGGATGTGACGAGCTTTAATTCTGGAAGTGAGACTTCTTATAAAAGGACATAATCAGGGAGCAAGGGGGGTGCACGAGCTGCCATCCCGGCCGGGGATGATCCGAAGGGACATGAACAAGGTGGTGAAGCAGAGGGCACAGAGCCACGTCTAAGTTTCCCTGCAGCCTGTGTTCACAACCTCACATTACTGCTTGTATATTTGCCCCTACACGTGGCCTCCTTACATACATGCTTATGGCAGTAACGTGGCAGAGGCACGCGCGGGGCGGGCTGACTTACTCCCATGCAATGGCTGCCACCATCACCAGGTACATCAGGTAATGAGCAGAGCCATCCCAGTAGCAGATCATGTGCCCGTGGGCAGTGTTCAGATACGGTTCGCCCTAAGGAAAAATTAAAAGGTGCATTTTAAATAGGGCTCAAACATTTCAGTGCAGAACAGCAGAACCAACTTGTGTTTGTCCGCTGAAATAAACCACACCCAGGCCCCCAGGACCAGCCCCACACAGCCCCCCGCGCCGCCTCTCTCCTCTCCTGCCAAGTGCAGTCATGAGGCCTGGCTCCCAACACGTGGCTCTTCTGCTCAAAGCCCTCCTGAAACTTGTGCCTGGAGGACCAGGTCCCCCGCCTCTGCAGCAGCCCCGTGGCTACATACCACCCCTTCTCATACCCTTCCTGCCTCCCTGCTTGCCCCCCTCTCCAGCCCTCTCTGGAGCCACCTCCGCCCTAGACCCTCCCTCCTCTGGACTCTGGCCCCTGCCCTCGGGTTTTCCTTCCGCCTCTCCCAGTCCACGTAAAGGCTTCTCTTCGGGCCTCCGCTGCCTCATCTCTTCCTCGTCCTGGGCAATCTCCTCTCCTCCCGGACCTTCAGGTGCCAACTCCGCTCAGATTGCCCCAGGAACCACCCTCAGAGCTCAAACTCTGCAAGGCCCTACTAGCTGGGACGTCTGCCAGGAGGTCCCTCAACCACCTCAAGCTGCACATGTTCCTAGATGAAGTCAGCGTCACCCCTGCAAACCCGCGCCCCAGGCTGGTGGCAGGGAGACACCCCATTCCACAGCCCGAAGCTCTTGCCCAGCTCACCCTGGTCCTTGGAATATCCCCTCCTCCCTAGCTACCTGGAAACTGTTTATCATCCACAGCCATTGCCACTTTAAAAGCTAGAGTAGTGTCCCCAACTCAAGAACACCCAGTCAGCCCCTCGCTGTGGACGGGGTGCCTTGTGCGGGCCCGTCACTGCACGGAGGACAATGCCACCTTCCTGCCACATTAGCTCCTGGGACGGGGAAGCAAGTCTTATGACCCCAGAGCCTACTTCAACAAGCATCTGGAAGTGCATCTCTCTTCTCCTCCCTGTCTGGCTTAATAACGTCAGCATTCTCCCCCAAGCAGGACACGGGGCATCATCTTAGACCCCGATCTCCACGTCACCCCAGCTCATCCCCACGTCCTGTTCGTTCCAGCCACTCAATTCTCCGCCTCCTCCAGGCCATCCTTGTGCCCTTGCTGGCCCTGCAGAAGCCTCCTGACTGCTGTCCCGGCTCATGGCACCGACCCTTCCCTTCCAGCCCACCTGTTCCCTGACTTAACCTCGACCCTAACATAGGGGGGTAGCCCCAAACTCTGAAACAGATGAAGACTACGCTTCAGCTCTGCTCCTGATTTCCTGTGTGACTCTGAGTAAATGACTTAGTCTCTCGGGCTGGATTCACCACACCATAAAATGAGAAAATAGGACTAGCTCTCAGGTGTGACGGGGGATGGCGGTGGAGGGTGTCCTTACAATCAAATGTCTTCCTTAAGTGCCTCCATTTTTGGTACTGTACACATGTAAGACTGGACCTTGAGACATAGTGACATTTTAATAATAACAGACGCAAATGCTAACTTCATTCACACTGCTTCATTCAAATTGAACACAGTGAAGGAGTGTAAGAGTGAGCCTCCTATGAACTGACCCTGAGTTTCTGCCTCACTGTCCATGTGAGTAACCAGCCCTTGTCTATGGCCATAAATGAAATACCACGTGTCTACCTGCTTTCACTAAACAAAAGGATTTCATCTCTGAACAGCGTGGCTTGCACTGCTGGCCCTTTGGTTTAAGGCTCAGAGTCACTAAGCGATCCCATACCTCTCTCAGGTAGTGTGTCATGAACCCGTCAATGATTCCGTCCTGTTCCAGTCCTATGATGAGGTTCACCACGCTGGTAAATCCAAAAACCGCATACACTAGAGCGAAAGAAGCAAGTAGAAAAAGCAGTAGCTCGGAGACTGAGTAACGGCTTGGCATTTGCCCGAACAGTGGCATGTTTTTAATGTTTTCCAGAGGAGACCGTGCATGTCGTCAGCATGGACTAACAGAATGTACCCCCTGTCCACATGGCAAATCCCTACCTGACATGAATCATGCATCACTGCCAAGTGCTCTCACCGAGGGACACCCCAGGGCTACAAGTGACAAGCTCACCCACTGTCACCCACTAACTGTCCAGAGAATTCTGCCAGGCCACTGCTGCCCTTTCTCCACTCTCCCACAAGTGGCTGCCTAGGGCCACACCTGCATCCCACCTGGACTGTGGAACAGAACCAGTAACTGGTGGCCGAGGGAGCACAAGGTGACCATGTTTCAGATAATGGCTCAGAGGAGTGAATTCATCCCGGTGATCACCAGGCAGGCCAGCTCACAGTGTGTCCAACACGTGTGCCCAGCTCCACACGGAGAATCCTAAAGACAGATGGTTGATGTGCAAGTGACAATGGCTTTAAGTGGAAAAGCAATGATTTTTAAAAGTAGATGTGAGATGGGACAATTGAATATCAAAGAAGGAAAGCCCTAGCACCTTAGAGAGTTTTACTAGGGTTGTGAGAATCTCCTAAGTGGGCTTAAACCCGCTTAGCAACAAACAGGTAAGAATAATACTTTTTAAGCAGCAAGTGATCAAATTTAATGCATGCTAGTTTGTTAGTAAAGCTACATTTTCAAGCTATAACAAACTGGTGTCTGAAACTAAGTGATGTGCACGGACAGTAAAAAATCAGCTGGTAGACATAAGAAAAGCTGTAAGAAAAGAAATAGTGGGTAGGTGGATTCACAGAGAAGGCAGCCGCCTTGCCCGGAGCCTGCAGCCAGCAGCACAGTGTCTCCCAGGAGCAGGGGATCTGTGGACCTGCCGCCTGTGCCTCGTGCAGGCCTCGGGTCCAGATCTCCCGGCAGTGGTCAGCCATCGTGTCTCCCAGGACAGGAGCGTTCAGCACATGATCAGTCAGATGTTCCACCAACAATAACTGAGGCGGACAGCAGTGTCAGCCTCGAGGTCAGACCCCTCGCCCTGAGGCCGTGACTCAGGACAGGGCTGGGGTGCAGGAGCAAGGGGGCTCAAGTCTGGGGAGCCCAGAGAGGTGAGTGCAGCTAGGCATGGACTCCACGGAGCAGGGAGGTGGGGGAGGCCCGCAGCAGGAGAGCAGCCTGCGAAGGAAGAAGGACGCAGGGGCCAGATCAAAGGCAGGTGGTGTGGGGCAGGACAAAGGGCCCGGGCCTTGTACTCAGGCCTGCCCTGCTACTGACTGGCTGTCAGCCCTGGGGCTAGTCTCATCATTTCTTGAAACTCCAGAATTTCTATATGCAAATTAGGAGAAACGAGTTACTCATAATTCTTTCTCTCCCCACTTTTGCCACGGTCCACCATGGCAGAGAATACTCCCAGAGCCATCAAGGACGCGCTCGGCCACATGGCCTGCTTTGACCAGTAGCATACATGGGGAAGTGACAGCCGCCGGCTCCAAGTCAAGGCCTTATGTGGCATCGCTCTTTGCCTGCTAGCCCCTCTTGTGCGCCTGTATCTCCCGGGAAGGGCACGTCCTATGGGATCGCTGGTCCCGGAACAAGGACACAGTGAGCAGCCCTGAACCTGGCCCACAGCCCAAAGCGGAGCAGCCCTAGCCAGCCTGCAGACCTGAGAGCAAGGGAAGTAAATGACTGGAGCCAAGATGTGGAAACAACCAGAGGGAAGGATAAGGAGGTGTGGCACACATACACTGTGCGTGCAGTCCAGCCACACTGAAGAAAGCGGTCAGCCTTTTGCGACCACAAGGGTGGACCTCAAGCCACTACACAGAAATAGGTCAGACGGAGAAATGCAAGTACTGCCTGATCTCACCTACAAAGCTGAACTCTGAAAAGCAGAGTGGGACGGGGGTCGCCGGGGGCTGGGCGGGTGGGGAGATGGGGAGATGTTATCCCAGGGCACAGACTCCATTGCAAGAGGACTCAGTGTTGGGAGCTAACGTGCAGCGTGGTGATACACTTAGCAGTGCCGCGCTGGGTACTTGAAAGGTGCTAAGAGAACAGATCTTATATTTTTCCACCGCACACACAGACGGTAACTCTGTGAGGTGAAGGACTTCAAGGAGAATCACCCAACTGCAATGATGGTTTCAGAATCCATCTGTGTACCAAATCACCACGGCCTGTGTCATAGACTTACACATTATATGTCATTACAGCTCAATAAAGCTGGGGGTGGAAAGAAAAGAAACGTTGGTCGCCAGAGTTCCCCGAGATCTGGGAGTGTCCGATATGCCATGTTATTGTTGCAGAAACTAAAGAAACGCAGTGCACAGCCAAGCTCCTGGCAGGAGACGCGCTGGAAGATGAGTGAGGCCTTGCTCGAGGCAGCACCCCACAGGGAAGGGCACGGCCATGGGGTCAGTGCCTTCCTCTGGCTCTGTGACCTGACCGTGCTTCCCAGCGTCTCTGGGCCAGCATCTGCATCTGGCGGCGGAGGGTGCATGTGACGGGGCTCCGTGCCCAGAGCCACACCAGGCGCTCAGTAGGTGCTCCACCGTGGCGGTTTTATTTACTTAATGCGCATAGGTATTGGCCAGGCACTAGTTTAACTACTTCACAAATACCATTTAATGTTTGTACCAACC